CTTTGGAGGTGATGGGGCCAGAGGATGGATCTGAGATGTTTGATTGAGTACTAGAGCACTCTTTCTTGCTGACCTATAGCTGACTCCCACATGAGAGAATCATACTCTAATTTTCTTAAGCTCTGAAGTGTTTGGGGATTTTTTGTTGTAGCAGTCATCTCTGATTAATGCAAATACAACATCTATTTTGTACCAGCCATATTTTAAGTACTAGGGATACAACGGCAAACAAGTAAGACAGACAAGGTTTCTGCTCTCATAGGATATATCTTATAGAAGGAGAGGCAGACAATATACAGTGAAAACTTACATTTATATAGTGCTTTACAGTTTGCAAAGTTCTTTCACAGACACCAACTCATTTGATTTTCATAATGATATTTTACAGTTTAGGAAACAAAAATTTTTTGTTTCAAAGATTTTAAGTGTCTTTCATGAAACAGGGTTAGGAACTGGACACATGGATCAGAGTTTATTCACTTTCAGTTGCTTATACCACTGAACTGTGATGTTTCTCAAGTGTTCCATGATTCAGTTTTAGTTTTTAAACTAATGTATTTTTGCAGAAGTACAAGATAATTTTGGCGGCCCTGATTGTAAAAGCAAAACATGAAAACCGAACATCCATCAGCAGGAGAATGCATCTACTGTGGTATATTCAGAGACTAGGATGCTATAAGGCAGGGAAAATAAAAACTATTACAGTTATAGGCATTAGTAAGGGCAAATCTTGTTATCATGGCAAAGGATGATGATGACAAAATGAAGACTACACACAATATGAATCTGTATTGAAGAATAAGAAATGAGAGTAGAAAAGGACTATTTGGGAAAAGGAACTGGACCAGTGGGAGGAGAAGGATGGGACAATACGATAATGGGGGAAGTGAATATGACCAAAGTAAGTACATTATATACATCTATGAAAATGTCATTACTAAACCCTTTATTTTATTATAGGCTAATAAAAATGAATGGAAAAAAGAAGACAAAAACGGTACATAGTTATAATGCCATTATAAAGTTTTAAGACATTTGTGGGAATGATAATGACAACCTTTGCTTAGAGAGGAATAAAGAGGATGCAATTAGGGAGAGAACAGTGAGGACTTCAACTGTATTGGCCATATTCGATTTCTTTATTTTTGGGACAGGGTCTCACTATGTAGCCTAGGTTGGCCTTCAACTTGAAATCTTCCTGCTTGTATCACCTTCCCTAGTGCTGAGATTCCATTTGCTATTCTGGATTATCTTTCAGTTGCCCCTCCAGATCTATTTTCCACCCTTCTCAATTCTGCCTTGCCTGCTCTGGGAGTCTGGCTTGTGTGGTCTACTGTAGATTATTTGGCTACTTGTCCTTCTAGCTTTCAGATTGGAAGGTGGGAGAACAATATGGTCTCAGCTTCCTGACATTACAGTGAACTGACCAGGTCTCTCTTTCTCTCCCTCTCTCCCTCTTTTTCTCTCTCTGGTGGTATTTGGGTTTGAATTCAGAGCTTTGCACTTGCTAGACAGGTGCTTTACCACTTGAGCCACATCTCTAGCCCTTTTTGCTTTGGTTATTTTTTGGAGGTAGGGTCTCACTTGTCGAGGTGGGCCTGGACTGAGAGTCTCCTGTTTTAGGCTTCCCACCATAGCTGGGATAAGAGGCATGTGCTACCATGCCCAGTTATTGGTTGAGATGGGATCTTGTGAACTTTCTGCCCAGGCTGTCCTGGAGCCACAGTTCTCCTGACCTCAGCCTCCTAAGTAGTTAGGATTACAGGTCTACACCACTAGTACCTGACTTGGCCAGGTCTCTCTTTTTTTTGGCAGGGGGAGAGGCAGGTCTCTTAACTGAAGGTAACTACTCCTGTTAGAGGTTTTCATCCAATTTGGAAATTGCCCAGTCCCCTTACTCCTTCAGGCCTAGGAACAGAAATATTGTTAATACTCAGTTATTAGACCATATTTAATGGTCTTCAAAGACTCTGCTCAGCTCTGGTGTATAATTCCTTTATTAAACTCTGCTCTTTAAATTACCTAGCTCAAGAATGAGAGTGTCTTTTTTTCTTTATTCATTTATTCATATGTGCATATATTGTTTGGGTCATTTCTCCCCCCTGCCCCAAGCCCCCTCCATCTCCCCCTCATTCCCCTCACTTCCAGGCAGAACCTGTTCTGTGTGTTTCTTTTTTGCTGGGTTTTGATGGATAGATGCTCTCTTCCTTTCTTATCTCTCTCTCCACAATTTTTCTTTGCATATTTGAAATAATTCATGATTTGCAAGAAGGAAAAACTTTTATTGAGCACCTATTATATGTCAAGCACATGGTTGGGTTAAGAGTTGGGTACAGAAAAATAAATTAAACCTCTTATTACAGGAAGTCACTACTTAGTGGGGAGACAAGTTTTAAAAAAACAAAGGCAGTGAGTTACAGTGGTTAGGAATAAAGAGCTTGGGCTGATGGAATGGCTCAAGGGTAGAACACCTGACTAGCAAGTGTGATGCCCTGAGTCCAAACCCCAGTACCACAAAAAAAAAAAAAAAAAAAAAAAAAAAAAAGAGCATAGACAGTTACTCAAGAGGAAAGAAGATCCTTTGGGCCCAGGAGTTTGAGGCTAGCCTGGGCCACATAGTGAGACTCTGTATCAAAACAATCAACAAAACCCCCTAAACCCAAGGGATTTCTAGGCAGACAGGCCTGGCTATGTGACCTTGGGCTATAGGAGTAAAAATGACATTAATATTCTTACCTTCCTTGTAGGTAGTTGTGAGAGATAAAAGCAAAATCACCAGTATCTGCAGTTTTATGTCTTACTATATGCTAGGATATTCTAAGTCCTTAATAAATGTTATCTGAAATTGTTGTTAATGGCAACAATAGCAATTTTGTTCTTGGTTTAGAGGTAGCAGAGTAGGCACTGAATAACTAGAGCTGAGGAGACCACCAAAAGTTTATTGGGAGAAGTGGTGTTGGATCTGGACCTTAAAGAAATGGTAATTTCATTAAGAGATCAAATGGGGAAAGGCATTCCAGGTAGGGGGAACAACAGGAGAAATTTGCTTTGTTAGAGGGACAAGATTTAAACGTGAAAAACAGCAACAGGCTAATGAGCTAAGCAAGGGGTATATACAACCTGGTTTGGATTGACACTGCTGGTGATGATCTGGAAGTTTCTCAAATCTTTCTGTCCATTTGGAACACTGGCCTTCAGAAGAGCACAGATCAGTTATAGTATAGATTATCTTCAGTTTGGATTTGTCTGATGTTTCCTCATGATTAGAATCAATAATGTATTTTGGGCTAAAATACATTTACATTTTAGGGTACATTTAGTGTACCCTAAAAGATACACTGTGCTCTTCTTCATGTTTCATACAGGAGGGTGTATAAAATTGATTTGTTCCTAATCGGTGATTTTCACTTTGACAACATGGTTATCAGAGCAGCTGCCAGGTTTCTCCACTGTAAAGTTACTATCTTTCCTTCTTAAATAATCAACGTTTTATAGGGAATTACAGTAAGATATATAAAACTATGGTAAAGAGTGATAAGACAGTGAAAATCCTTTGATGCAGCAATTACACTTTTAAGAATATATCCTAAGTAAATAAGGGTTTATGCAAAGTTCTAGTTGAAAGAATATTTACCAAAGCCTTTATAGTATTCAACAATGAAAAATAACCCAAATTTCTATTATTAGTGGATTTGGTTCTGTAAATTAGCTACACCCTAGGATATTATGCAGCCACTAAAATTATGTGATAAAAGTGTATTTAGTGACAATAAAGGAACATAGTAATTAAAGAAAGCAATAACTAAATACTCTTTGTGCTATGGCCCAGTTTAAAATATTTTATATATACATATACAAATGTGTCATTTATATACACATATATATACACACATATATACAGTCACTGACTTTTTCCTTTTTGCTTACATGCAAACATTTATATTACTTAATTTTACTACATTGTATACAATGCAAACATTTATATTAATTTTATTACATTGTATATAATGCTTATATAGCAAAATCAAGTTATTAAAGTTAAAATTAATATGAGCTTTTATACAAAGTTCACAGCATTTAGTTGATCAACAAATAGCAGTTTCTCTCTTATAGCAACAGAAGGTATTCAGGCCTAAGTTGGAAAATGGCAGCTCTGGAATGTAACTGAAAGATTTAGGCAACAGGTTTGCATCTGATAAGCTCTGCAGCTTTCCATCTGTGACATTTCATGATTAACACAATCCTCTTCTATTTACCTGGTAAACAATCAAATGAGAAAACACAAAAATTATCGTTTGTATTGAATATCTGATAGTTGTGTTATCATTCCCAGCACTATGTATTTTGAATGGCGGGGTGGCAGTGGTGTGTGTTTAAAAAAAAAAAAAAAACCCACAAACAAAAAAAGCCAGGCAGGTGGGAGGACAGATGCAAGTCCCAGCTCACCGCTCCTTGACAGATCTGCTCACCTTTTTGTGAATGAGTGGGGCGGGGGGGTTGGCAGGCCTCAGAGCACACATGACCAGTGAGAACTACTACTTAGAAGAGGAAATTACTTTCCTGGGGGCGGCCGGGGGAGCCAACGCAGAGGAGCCCAGATCCCTGTCCAGCAGACCATGAGGGTGGGCTGGTTCAGGACTCTTGGCCTTCTCCACCTGGCACCAAAGGTTGCGTTCACTGCCCAGCAGCTAGGGAGGACACCCGGCCAGGGACCCTCGTAGCCCCCATGGCACCCACGTGCGCGCAACCCAAGAGGAGGGGCCTGTGGGCGGGGGCGAGGCGCGGGCTGCGCGCGCGGGATGGGGGCGTGGTCTGCGGGCGGGGGCGGGGCGCGCAGCGGACCCGGCCGGTCCTGCGCTCCTCCCCCTCCCGCGCCTCGGCCAGCGGCGGGCCGAGCTCCTCCCCCGCTCGATCGGTCTCCCCTCCTCTCCGCCCGTCCGTTCTTCCCTCCCTCCCTCCCTCCCTCCCTCCTCCTCCTCCTCCTCCTCCTCTTCCTCGGTGAGGCGCTCCTCTGGCAGGCAGGCAGCATGGCGGCCGTGGAGACCCGAGTGTGTGAGACGGACGGCTGCAGCAGCGAGGCCAAGCTCCAGTGTCCCACCTGCATCAAGCTGGGCATCCAGGGCTCGTACTTCTGCTCGCAGGTAGACGCCCACTCCCCGCAGCCCGCCGCCGCGGCCGGACCCCCTCCCTTCCCCTGCGGTTCATCCTCCCCGCTCTTCCCCTCCCGCCCTCGGCTCGGGCTCGCTCCTTCTCTCCGCGGGCCGCGCTTCCTCCTCCCCCGGCCTCCGAGGGTCCGGGGCCTCCGGGCCGCGCCGCGCTCGCGTGGGGCGGGGCGGCGGGGCGGAAGCCGTCTTTCCGGGTCTCCGGCCGCGCATCCTCCGGGGGGCGGGGGCTGCCAGGTGAGTGCCTGCCCGGCGCAGGTAGGGACGCTGGGGAAGCGCGGCCTCACTCCAGGGTCCGTCCCAGCCACTGCCCAGCCCAACCCGGTGGTCACCCTGGTGCCTGCCGCATTAGGGGACAGAAGCGACCCGCTGGGCTTTGAAGGGTGGCTTGTCTCAGGACAACCCGAGTCTCCCAGAACGGGAATGCCAGCTGCAGCCCGGATTCTTTGTGTCTTACTACCGCGCCTGGACACTTCAGCAACTTTGAGGGGTAGGGGTAGAGGAGGGGTCTGTGCAATTCATTCTTTTTCGTTGGCATCCCAAATTATTAATTTGGAAAGCCATAATGGGATGAGTCACTTTTCTCTGTTATTGAATTTCCCACGAGTGCAAAGGACAGGTCCATGGAGTGCATTTTCATAAGTTTTGTGCAGTGGGTTAGATCCAGAATTGAAGGGGGTCCTGTCTGAAGCATGTGTTCGTATTTTCTGAAGCGTCCCAGTGTTCCTGCTGCATTCTGAGACTCAAGATTATTGGCAGGCTGCAATAGATTGACTCTTAGTTACAGTCTAGGTTGCTGAAGTGAGAAACACAGTGAATGTTTTGATATTAAATTGGTCGTGCCCTGGGAGAGAGAAGAGTGTGAATCAAGAGTCCAAAGGCCTTGCTGTGGCGCTTCCCTTGCCAGTTCCGCTGAGATTTTGAATTAGTCACGTTACTTAATCTTTCTGAGCTTCAGTGTTACCCTGTGCTGAGGGGATAGTTTTCCTTGTGTATTTCACAAGGTTGGTCTAAGACGCATATTACCGCACAAATGCCTACAAAGAAGTATTTTTTGTTTAAAGGATGCCAGTACAACTTAATACTGCCAAATGTAAAAAATATAAACGAGTAAGAATGAAAACAAAGATATTAAAACAATAAATACAAGTAAGTGTCCCAAATACAAAGTATGTACAACAATACATGTAAAAATGAAAATACAAATAGAATCCTTAAGGTTACAAATGCTTGTAGATAAGTCATTGTAAGAGATCTTAGCTGTTTTCTTGTTTTCAGACAGGATATGATTTTTGACCTTGTTGTTATCATTTGGAAAAAGTTGTACATGGAGAAGTGTTGCTTGATCTAAAAATAGCCTTGGGGCTACTCAGCGTGCAAAACATTTTCAAGTTCTAATTTGTTAAGTCCTGTGTGCGATCTGGCCTTAAAACAAGAAACAATAATTTGCTTTTGGAAATTGTGAACCAGAATAATGTGACAAGAATAATGTAGATTACACCATGTTTAAAATTTGGTGGCATTGCAGAGGGTAGGGCACACACTTGTAATCCCAGCACTTGGAAGGCTGTGTCAAGAGAATAGAGTTTGACGTTAGACTGGGCTCATAGTGAGACCCTGTCTCAAAAAAAAGGTGGCATTTCCATTAATATGTACTGAAACTTCTCTGTTAAAAAAATTAAAAGATACTAGGAAACCATGTTCAATCAAGTGTAGGTTACATATAGTTATAAAGAACATGGAATCATTGAGGTTTGAGGGAAAATGCCAGACACATTGGGAAAATATGCAGGGTTTATCCAGTATGGTATGACTGGGGGTACTTCTTATTGGATTCTGCAGGTATATTCCTGGTATCACTGTTGTATTTGTACTCAAACATACTCAGAGTGGCTCTCCCAGCTGTCTTCATTACTATAACCACCTCCTGTGGTCAGTTTTTAAAAATTTGTCACTGGGTCAGTTGTAGTAGTCTCTTGATTTCTCCACTGTTCTCCATTTCACCACCTTGTTTATTTCCTTTGTAACATTTTATACAATTTGTAATGTTCGTTAGAAAACAAATGAAAACATGTCTTGCAGTCAGAAGCTGAGCTTCATCACTGCCCTAAGCTCATTTCCTAGTACCTTGCTCTGTATGGAGTAAGTGGTGGACACTTTGAATCAATGGATACATGTATCAAAAAGTAGAACCAGGGTAGACTTTTGTATTTGGGTTACAACTCCATTCATTACTAACTGCATGACATTGGTAATCTCTCTGTTTTTCAGTTTTTCTTTATGGAATGAGACCATTAAATATCTACCACAGGGTTTTGGTGAAGACTTAAATACTGAGTATGCAAAGCACTTAGCACATAACAATAAAATTAGCCCTTTTTATTGTTGCACTATGTTTTTATGTTTGAGATGGTAGAAGTATTTTATCTAAGCTGCTTAATTTTAAGAAGTTTTGGTCCTTTAAAGGAGTAAAACCTGATACTTGAAGTTGAGTTTTCCAAAAATTAGGGTGTTTGTTTATACACATTCCATTCTTATTAAATTAATAGTAGTTTGTATACGCTTTATCCTCTTCACTTGCATGTAATGCAAGCAAAGGATGGATGCTGTGCTTTACGCATTTTTGTATTTCCTGAATTGCTTGTAAGCATTTAGTTCATTAAAGAAAAGCTCAATGAGCCTGCTAAAGGAAAGCAGCCTTCTGTGTTTACATTTTTCATTTGTAAAGGCTAAATCATATACTAGGTAAAGGATGTACTGTCATTTATTTATTTTCTTAGAGTTTCTTAGCTGCTACTTAGTTTAGTAGTCAAATCAGCCGAAAAGGACCTGAGTGATATGTAGCCTTTTGTTTATAACCATTAGAACTTACAATATTAGTTAAATGTGGTGTAGTAGAAGGTGAGCGTTTGGAATCAGACATGGGTTTAAATCTTTGTTCCCGTGTGCTTGGATAAGTTGTTTGCTAATTTGTATGCGAGGGCTGAGTGAATACGAGAGAGCATGTGACGTGCTTAATGAAGTTTTAGCAAATGATTTTATGCATATTACCTCATCTGTAATACTATTAAAGTCAGTTCCAAGGAAGGTTTCAAATGTTTGAAGGGAAGAAGTGTTTGCTTATGAACATTTTAGACAAATATGTGTGAGTTACTTCAAAAGAAGCAGTGGAAGGCCTTGAACTGTGATCCTCTTGACCTCAGCACCCTAAGTAGCTGGCATTACAGGCTTGAGCCACTGGCGCCCACCTCATCATAGTAAAGTTCTAATACAATGAGCTATAAATATGATTATAACCTTCTCTGCTTGATCCTGAATCTTTCCTGACCTCACAGTCTTTAACATGAAGCATTCTTTTATTCATGCTTTGGCAGGTAGTATTTCCAGCCCAACTCCCAGCCCAAATTATTTTGATTTCTTTAATTAGTATTAGTCTATTCTCTGGCTTTGACTAAAGGATAGTTCAAAACACTACCTTAGTGTGCATGTGTTCCGAAGCTGTAGCTGAACCTGTGAAAAGGGATCCTGTGAAACACTCCCATGTTATTATATGTTGTAAATAAGTTTTCTCCTGTTTCTGTCTCCAGTAACCTGTTCTTCTGCAAGCCTCGGTGGCGACTTCATCCTGATGTACCAGAGCTTTGTCATGTCTCTTAGAAAGCATTCCTAAACCCCAGATAGCCAGGTATACTTTTGGCTGGTATGGCATTTATTTGGATCATAGACACAGTCCTCTAAAGTATAATAGGTTAAATGATAAATGAAATTATGACTTTAGCAGTTTCCCTTATCATAAAGTAAGAGGCAGCAGAAACTTCTCCAAATTGTAAAACTGTGTTTAATGATTCTGTGTGATGTACATAACATCAGATTCTGAAGGTAACCACGTCTAACTGTTAAGTTATAAACTTAAATCATTCTGCAAAGCAGTCAGTGTGAGTGCTGTTAGGTTTTAGATATGGCATGACTTTTTTTTTTCTAAGAATGGGAATTTATTTTATTGATTGTTTTGTTAATTGATTATAGGGATGGATTTGGCCATTCGAATAATGATAACTTTGTGTTTTTCACTACTAAACAGATAGTGAAAAATATAATTGCAGTTATTACATAAATGATTTGTTACTGCTTTCAAATTAAGTTTCAAGTCAGAGTTTATGAGTTATTTATAATTTTTTGGATGTTGAGAAGAAGAAAAAGCTAAAATACCTTCCATCTTAATTTGGTGAAAAGAGCATGAGTAGGAAAACAAGTCAAAACAGTCTATGTTTCCCTCGTCTTGGAAGTACTCCATATTGTGAATTTTGTTTGCTTTCATTTGTTTTTCCATGTTTGATTCCTTATAATGTTTTTGAAATTTTTATAAATCATTACATGTACTCTTCTATATGCTTTCTTTAATATTGTCTTCCTATGATTCATCTATATTGTATGTGCTTGCCTGCATTGATTATTTTCATTGCTATATGCTATTTTAATGAATTAATATTTTTTCCATTCTTTTAATGGAAATTTGGGTTGTTCAACATTTTGCTATTACAAACAGTGCTTCTCTAAACATTCTCATAGCCAACTCCTGATGCCTGCATACAAAAGTTTCTCTTGGGACTTGTGGGTATTGCTCAAGTGGAGAGTGCCTGCCTAACGAGTGCAAGGCCCAAAGAGTTATCCTGGGTCTGAATGAAGGAGAAAATTCTTGGGTCAGTTTTGTTTTGATGGTGCTTAATTGTTTTCCAAAGTTGTGCATTACACTTTCATCATCAGAAAGTTTATATTGTTTTATATCCTGGCTAGCACTTGATATTAACATTTAAAAAACTTTTTTTTTTTTTCCATTGTGGTGTGTTCCTTGTGAGCAAGGGCATTGATTGGGCTGTTTTCATATATGTTAACTTGGAATCTTTCTCAAAGGTTAAACTCTTCATGAGGGTTATGCTACACATGTATAGACAGGAAGTACTTAAAAACAGATAAGTAAA